TTATCTAAGTCTCAGTGTCTTCAGCTGTAAAATGGAGCTATTAAAACTCTTAATCTTAAAGACTACTCTGAGGATCAAAGGAAGTCACATTATATACGTAGAAGCCTTAATGAATCGTGCCATTCTATGTAAATAATCCCATTGCCATTGTCATAGAGTCAATTCTGACTCATAACAACCCCATAGGCATTGTTATTCTGATTGTGTTGTTTTTCTCAGACTGAGGGTTCTTTTCCCCTTGCATCTTTTTCCAGATATTCCTTATAGTACCAGGCAAAGAAAAAGACAGCCAGTATGCGCTTAAGTATGGATTGGGATGGGTGATCTGAGTAGAGGCAAAGGCGAAAGTAGAATTGGAGCATCGCAGAAAATAACTTATTTACTATTTGGTCAGTGTCTTGATGTTATATGGGTCTTTGGCTTAAAAGGGGGCATTAGTAGTTCAGAGGTAGAATTCTTATCTTCCACGCAAGAGACCTGGATTCAATTCCTAGCCAATGCACTTCATGCATAGTCACCACCCATCTGTCAGCGGAGGTTTGTGTATTGCCATGATGCTGAACAGGTTTCAGCGGAGCTTCCAGACTAAGACAGACCGGGAAGAAAGACCTAGCAATCTACTTCCCAAAAATCAGCCAATGAAAACCCTATGGATCACAACAATCTAATCCGCAGCCAATCATGAGGATGGTGCAGGACCAAGCAGCATTTCATTCTGTTGTGCATGAGGTCACCATGAGTCGGGGGCTGACTTGATGGCAGCTAACAGTAGCATTGGCTTAAAAACTGCCTACTCTCCATGGAATTCATAAAATTTGATTACAGATGTTACAATTCCTGGTCTTAGATCAGCCAGTCAAAGATTTAAACGCATTACTTTTACCTTCATCCGTCCACCTACCTGTCCAGTATTTTAGCTAGCCAGCAAATGTGTCTTGAGGCCCAAGTAAATCCAAGCTAAGCATTGGCCTGACACTGAGATTATAGAAGCTCAATTCCTGCCTTTAAAGAACGCATAATCCATGACTTTCACTGCCTTCCCCAGTAGTTATGTGATGGTTAAGGACAGGAAATAATATCAGATGCTGGCTGATAAGGATCTTTTTATAAGACCAAAAGACCAAAATTTGCCTTTCTTTTGTTTTTTGAAACTATTCATGGGGAAAAGAAAGGCACAAACAAAAATCAGCATATGTTGCTACATCTATCTATCTATCTATTTTAGGAGGAGCACAGATGGGTTGGATAGAGAATGAGCCTTTTCATCTAACTAGAAAATTGCCTACATTCAACCTCTTAAACCAAATAGAGAAAGAGAAGCTATCAAGAATCTTAAAACTAGCTGACTAAAATCTGCAAGTACTGGTGAATGCAGCCTGGGACCACCAAAAAAAAAAAAGAAAGAAAGAAAAGAAAATCAGCATGATGTGCATATCTGAATCGTCTTACAGTCCTGGTTATTGTACAAATCTGTGATTCAGCGTTGAGCTCACTTGACCGTGCAGTGACTAGCATGTGGGCACTATCTCATGTAATATTCAAGGACGTTATAAGAGCAAGTGCTTCTCAACCCTTTCACGTCATGACATACACAGAAAATGATAATATTTTTGTCACACCAAGATAAATGGACAAGACAGCTCATAACTAGATACTAGCTTGGAGGTTCCGCTACCTCAGCCTTGGCCAGCATTCAGAGGGCTGAGTGTTTGCAGCACTACCAGAAACAGTAGCATTTGTAAATTCTATGCTAGATTATCCTTAAGGTGTGCCGCCTTTGCTGACCCAGAGCCTGACAAATTTGTTTTTCTTAAGAACAGTTAATTTTTAATTGTAGCGACTACATGATACCTTATGGTAAGATTCTGCATGGAATTTAGAGGATCTCAAAAGAGAACATTTGAGCAAAAAATTACTATAGGTTGGAGACAGCTTTTTATAGTGAAAATAGGCTGGCTTGGGAATTGGGAGTCCTGGGCTTAAGTTCTAGCTTGGTCACCTTTTGCAATTCACTTCTCTCTGAACCTCAATTTCCTTATCTTTAAAATTAGGTGGATTGAACTAGATGAACTTTAAGCTACCCTCTAGCTCTAATATGCCATGATTTTATACTGCCCGTAAATCTTTGTTATTGAATCAACCACTTTACACTGAGTGTTTGCTGTGCGCTAGGCACTGAGTAAGTGGCCTCCCATGCATACCCAAGGGCCTGCTACATGTTGCTCCTCAGGTCAAAGGTCACCGCTCAGATGCTGAAGGAATTATAAACAAACTAAAATGCTTATTGAAGTAAAGAGAATAGGCACTAGAGAGAGTGTCTTAAAGGAATGAAGCTAGCTATAATAATTGAAAGTCCTTCAGATGTTTATTGGTATTTTTGAAATACAGGCAGATGATGGGCTTTGCGGTTCAGAGTCTTCCAGCTAGCTGAAGACATCACTTAGTTAAAGCTGGAAACCTGGCAACCTTAACCTCTTAGGGTAAGCCTCCTTGGCTTTCATTTCCAGAAACACTGCAGATAAATTAACAAACTAAGCCAAGTTTTATTGTCTAAAGTTGTAGAATGAGTTAGCGTTAAGAATCCCTTTAGGAACTTACTTTTCTTTTTCCATAGTTGTCTAAGTCCTTTCTGCCTAGCATGGGTTGGGTAGATGAGGATGCCTAGCTGGAGAGTAGCAGAGAAGATAATCAAGGACTGGCAGCATTATGGCAATAGTCCTTTACCTTGCTCATAGAATAAAATGGTAGCATTTATTCATTCTACAAATCTTTATTGCTTATTTATTTACAGCATGTCAGATACTTTTCTAGGAGCTGGAAATTCAAACCTGAAATGCTCCTGCTATATAGGAAGACGTAATACATTCATGTGTGTGTGTGTGGAACACACAGGAATGTGTATATATGTGTGTTCCTGTGTGTTCGACACACACACACTTATGCATGCACGCACACACACGCATATATATACATGAATGATAGTGCTTCAGTCTTAGAGATTTTTTAAATAAACCTGTATGAGTCTGAATCAACTGGATGGCAATAGGTACAGTAACTAAGGAGCCCTTGTGGCACAGTGGTGAAAGCGCTTGGCTGCTCATGAAAAGTTGGCAGTTCAAATCCATCAGCTGCTCCACGGGAGAAAGATGTGGCAGTCTGCGTCCATAACGATTACAGCCTTAGAAACCCTATGGAGCCGTTCTACTCTGTCATAGGTTGCTTTGAGTCGGCAACAACTCCAAAAGCAACAAGTGTTTATTAGTAACTGATTTGTTACTTTTGAAACACATAAATTCTTCTTTCCTTATTTTCTACTTTCCATCAGCAAACATTTAATAAGTAATGTGCCAGATACATTTAAAAGAGGAATAAAATTAAACTGTGCATTCATCTATTAAAAAAAATACTTTCAGGTCTATAAAAATTCACTCAGTAATACACCCATATACCGTTAAGGAAATGTGGTGTTTCTGATACATGCACAAGAGGATACCTATGCATGTATGTTTGAATGTATGTATGTATTTGCTTGTCCATTCTCAGAAAAGGCTAGTAGTACCTAGAAGGTTCAAGCAAGAGAAGTCTGGGTTTGTTTCTTCCTGTACTTATGTATACACCTGTGAGTATGTTTGTGTGGGAAGGAAGGAAGGAGAGAGGGAGAGGGTAGGAGAGGTAAAAGGAAGGAAGGGGAAAGGAAAAAAAACGTCAGTGGTCTTAGAAGGAACCACAGTAGTTAGTAAATTTTTACCTTAACTCCCAGCATCCCATCTATCTTTTCTATATTGAGTGCAGCTATGCACCATTATTCTGTCAACTGACATATCATAGCAATGAAATTGACCATTGACCCAAATCAAACAAATAAAAAGAGGATAATCTCAGTTAAAAAAAAAATACAAAAAACATTCACAGACCTTAGAAAAAGTGACACTTATGTGCTCCAAAGGAGCCCTGGTGGCATGGTGCTTAAGCACTTGACTGCTAGGTTGGTGGTTCCAACCCAGCAGCGGCTCTGTGGGAGAAAGATGTGGCAATCTGCTTCCGTAAAGATTTCAGCCTTGGAAACCCTATGGGGCAGTTCTGCTCAGTCCTGTAGGGGCACTTTGAGTGACATCGACTTGATGGCAGTGTGTTTGGTTTTTTTGGTTATGTACTCCAACAACCATGATAAAGATAACTTGATGAAAGTCCTTTCAAAGCAGAAAAAAAGGTAAAATCTCAGGGATTTTTTCCCTTTACTGACCAGAAGCTCATTCCAAGAAGTACTAGCCTGTCTCATTTCGAAATGTGTTTCTCTTGCCAAGGAAGTGGAAGTGGTCATACTCTTTCCCACCAAACTATGGGTAAATTATAATTATCCTACCTCTTGTGGGACAATGAGGCAGCAAACATCTGCTATACTGAATCAAAAAACACAGGAACGAAACTATACCAAACTGTGAATCATACCTGGACTCAGATGAAAGGATTTGCGTTGTGTTTACCTTTTTCTTTATTTTCTTCACAATTTAAAATATGGATCTGTTAACTCTGTCTGGCTCCATGTTCTGAGAGGAAATATATGGATTCTATTGGGGCGACTCTTGTTTGAGCATTGAAAAATCACAGCTTTAAGGCAGAAAGATACGAATAGTTAATAACAAGTTTTCTGTTTGGTTTATTATTATCCTCTTACAGTTTTCTTTTTCTTTAAAAGGATGGTACAGGTAAGAAAATTTAGAAGTATATAATCTACGAACCAAGGTCCTTTAGTTTTCATTTTCACTATAGTAACAATAACAGGGGGGCAGAAAATGGTATTTTACACTTTATTTCCAAAAGAAACACACTTCACATCCACTGTTACCATGATTTTATGTATGATGATATTTATCGTAGCACTAAACTGTTCACTTAGAGTAAGGAAAAGAAAATGGTACTTCAATTCTAAGTTTAGCTATGAAAACATATACAGTAGTCTACTTGCTTTAAAAATGTGTCTTTTTGTTTTTATCCGTTAGAGAGCAGAAAGACAAACTCGAATGATGGACTCAGCTCAATATGCAGAATTTTGCGAAAGTCGGCAATTAAGTTTCTGTAAGTAAACACTTAACTTACAGTTAATTATGTGCATAAAAGGTTATGTGTTGCAGATTTACTGAAGTATGTTATGATCTCTGTTCCTTAGAAATTGGTGAATTTAATATATGCACAGTTACAATTGTTATAGAAACAACCTCTACGTTGCGGAGGGAGCCTATAAAAGATTTTACTCCACTCTACTGTTTTGCAATTAATAGTATCAGAGGTTATAAAGGGTGCTAGTAATACACAGAGAGCCATGTTAATTATTCACATTGCTTTTAGTCAGAAAAAGTCCATTTTATTTAATATTCCTGTTTTAATTTCTTTTCCAGTTTCTTAGTCATATTTACAGTAGTAATGCTGATTGTACTTGACCCAAATGGACTCTAATAGTACAGTCATGACATTTAATAGCCCCCAATATTAATTAATGAATCCCAAACTTTCCCTTTTATTCATGCATACACATGTAAACTCCTGCTGTGTGGCGTGCATTCAATGTTAGCCAAATTCAGTAGCCCATTCTGTTGTAACACAAGCAACATGGTGGTAAAATTAGTACTTTCCCAACACTGCACAGCAGTTTACTAAAAGAAGACAAAGACCCATGATAAATAGTGGGCTAGATTGTGCAGCAGAACATCCTTACAGCAACAGTTCAGTGATGACTAAGGCTCTCGGGGTAAAAGAGAGAGCATGATGAAAAGTCCAGTTAAAAATATGACCAAGTAGCACATGACCCTGGTCTGAGGAATTATACAGACAATGGTGTCTTTAAACAAAAAGCCATCATGTGGTCACAATAACAACGTACTTGATTTAGAAAAAGAAAATGAGAGCTTCATTGTAGAGCATAAAGTGCAAATAAATGACACATTTCAAATAGTGTCCCATGTAAATGTCAGTAAAATATAGGAAAACATGTTTTGGAAGATTTTTTTCTAACTAAATATACTTCCCAATCTGACTAACAATTTGGCATCATACATCTGCGAAGCATTAAGTAAATGACACTTCAGTTCATGGCAATTTCAGCAAATGAGAGGTTTTTGTATTGTAATTTTTAGGTTTAAAAATGGCATTCAGGTCTTTTATAAGTTTAAATTTCTAGTTTATAAAGTAACATTTAGTGCTATTGAGCTATTTTTTTAAATTACATTTTAAAGTTAATTCACATAGAGGAACAGAAGTGCCCTTTCACACTATAACCAAGTCATGTTAAAGTCTCCTAATAAGTCTTTTGTTTGAAAAGCAGTTTTTTAGTAACTCTTCATTTTCTGTTTTTAACTCAATAATTAACTGTAGTAGGTTAAATATGAATAATTTTCCTTTCTAAATAACTGTAGTATAAACAGTATATTATGCTTTTTTTTTTTCTTTAAATGGGAAGGATTTGGTCATTTAAAAATATTGGTTTATACGGTGCCCATAGGTGATTCATTTTGAAACCTTCGTGGGAGAATCTGTTTTATATTCCAAAGCACTGTGGTTGGGAAGACTATAACCCAAGTGGGTCAGCAAATTCAGAAGCAATTCCCACACTGGTCAGAGTATTAGGTTCTCTTCTTTCCTCTCCTTTCTGAGAAACCAAGTTAAAGGAATTGTGATCCTGCCATATGTGTCTGCTTAAATATTTGATCATAGCATTCACCGATTGGGATTACTGGTACATTTTAATGTAGCATCTCTATAACTTTATAGGCTGAGGGTAAGCTGTATAATAAGACACTAATCAGATTCACTATTCTTTTGTTTTTTGTATTTATGTAAGTCAGATGGTCATTCCCTCAAAGTCTTCTTTAATCTCATATTAATATTGATTCACTAGCTTTCATTTGGTTAGAATTTGTCTGATAAATCTTTTTTCAACACTTTGCTTCTCATTTTATACTACATGTGGCTTTTGTAAACAACTGATATCTAGATTTTCTTTTTAATTAATCTCAGAGTCTGTGTATTTTCATTGATGAATTCAATCGATTTTAGATGTTTAATTACTGATATATTTGAGTTTGTATATGCTGTCTTATTTTGTATTTTAAACTTACTGTGCTTTTCTATTTGATTTTTCCTATTCTACATTCTATTGGATTGATTGGGTTTTCTTTCTTACATTTTTCCTTCACCAGCTTGGAGATTATATATTCTATTTCTGTTATTTTATTGCAAGCCTTAATTTTTTAATATGTATCCCTGACTTAAAATTTTTTAAGTTAATAAGTATCTAAGCTTTCCCTCTCCACTTAATTTTATTTTTCTTAGGGTCTTCAATACGAGTTAAAAGCACTCATATTTTGCCCTGTACTTGAATGATAGTTTACCTGGGTAGGAAATTGTAGGCTGATAGTTATTTATTAGTAAAAGTTATATTTATGAAAGCATCATCTATTAGCATCTCTTGTTAGTAAGAAGTCTGCTGTCAGTCTACTTGTTGTTCTGTATTTTTCCTGTTGGAGAAACTGAGACAAAGGTATTGCTTCCAGGCCCTCTGGTAGAAGGGGTATGGGAAATGAACAGGCTGGCAAACAGTAGTTGCCTGGTAAATATGTATAGAAGGAAAGGAAGAAGGGACCTCTTTATAGAAGGTTGCAGGGAAAGCGTGTTTTCTGAAGAAGACTATTTTCAATTAAGGCAAAGAACAGTGCTTTTGAAGATGCTGAAACTAATGAAGAATTTATTCAGAGTAGAATGAGTATCACAGAGGGCACTGGAGGAAAGATTGAATGTGGAAAGACTGATGGGATAGAAATCATGAAATAGCATGCAGGGATGAGAGAATGGAATATTAAGAGGAACTTAAATTTTGCTTGTGATCATTGATGAGAAGGACAAAAAGTACATGAATATTAGCTAACCTTTAAGTTCCGTATTAAATGTTGTTTTAATTTAGCACAGCGTGAAAACCTAGGTGGTGTTAAAAAGCTGATAATTCTAGGACCTATCGGCCTTTGTTCAGGATTCTATTTAAATTGCTGGTCAATTTCCAAATTACCTTTTCACCTGATATATTGGGAAGAGAGTGGAAAGAGAAGGAATTAGTTCATTCTAAAGTCCCCTCACCTCTTGATAGAAACAAACTATCATGACTAGAGGTATCTGTGCCTCTTTTGCTGGAACCAACAATGTCCTGGAAGGGTCAATCTCTCCTTCTCCCTGTGACAGAGGAGGAAATTAGCCTCACCCCTGGAATAGCAGTAGCCCAAGTGGTTTATGGGACCTCTATGCATCTTTTTTAATGTATAGAGAAGTTTGAAGCCTACCCTTTTAGTAAGGGAATATTTTTCATTTATTCATTTCTTCTAGAAATATCTGTTGAGAGTCTTCTAATGCCAAGCGCTATTCTAGATGCTGGGGATGCAATGGTGGATACATGGTCCTTGTTCCTGCATTCACAGTGCTTACTATCTAGTGATGAAGCTACTAATTCTGGTGCTTAGGTGGACAGATCTGACTACATACTAATAACTATTCTTTACCTTCCTTTAAGATTTTTTTTTTAATTCCATTTTCATAAAAAATATAAAACAAATTTTTGCCATTTTAACTAGTTTTCAGGTATACAATTCAGTAACATTAATTGTATTCACCATGTTGTGCAACTATCACCACAGTCTAGTTCTAAAAGTTTTGCATCACCCTATTCCCCCCAGCCCCCAGACCTTGGTAACCACTAATAAACTTTTGTCTCTTTGCATTTGCCTGTTGTAAATATTTCATAAGTGAGAGCATACAATATTTGTCCATTCGTGTCTGATTTATTTCACTTAGCATAATGCTTTCAAGGTTTATCCATGTTGTAGCATGTATCAGAACTTCATTTCTCCTTTAGAGATGAATAATATTTCATTGGACATATATACCACATTTTGTTTATCCATTCATCTGTTGATGGGCACTTGGGTTGTTTCCACCTTTTGGCTATTGTGAATAATGCTACAATGAATGCTTTTAAAGTAAATAGTTTAGAACATAGTCACAAAATATCTGTTTCTATGTTCCTAACAGTCTGTCAAAGGGAGAAGTGAATAAGGTGCATTTTATTGATCTTGCCAAATTGCTGCCTGTTAACTTTAACTTCAGAAGTATTCCACAGATGTTAAACAAGTGTTTGTGAGCTATTGCAGCTTGCTAGTTAGATGGAATGTTGAAGGTCAGAGACTGTTTGGAAGATTGGTTACTTTAGGGAGATAGCTTTAAAGGGGATTATCATAATTCTGCCACATATGACAACTTTCGATATGTGCTTCAATAGCAAAACTTAATGTCTTCTGTGATTTATTTTAAAGAACACTCTTCTGTATGTGGAATCCATGAAGACTGTATTTATAAGAATCAAAACATCATGATTTTAGTTACTGTTCAGTGTTTTATAGACCTGTGGGACCAGATTGATCAAAAGAATAATCAGTGAATTTTTTTTAAAAAGATTATTATCTTACAGATTTGATAAAGTCTTCAGTATTAGTCTTTTCCTTCTAGTTACTAGTTAAATTATTAATATCTAATAAAGGTCCTATCTCAAATTAGACTCTGCTTAGCACTGTGGAAGTTTAGAGATATTAAGCTGAAGGTTCCAGAGATGCTTGTTTCCATGTGTGCTTGGTGCTATTAGGTATGCGGAGAGACAGGAGGCATGGTCTTTGCCCGCAAATAATAATACAGTTTGAGAAATTTAAATGGAATGAAAAGATATATGATGATATAAAGGTTCAATAAATTGTGGGAGTGGAGATCTCTCCCTTTGGCCTGTATGGTCAGAATTCATATGGAGAAGAGTGATGGGAGAGCATTCCAGGGAGGGAAAGGAGCCAGGCCGAACACAGAAGAGTCTATACTCAAGGCCAGGTGACAGTTTAATAGGGGAGTAATGAACCACTGGTGGCACAGTGGTTAAGCACTCAACTGCTAACCAAGAGATTGGTTCAAACCCACCAGCTGCTCCACAGGAGAAGGATGTGGCAGTCTGCTTCTGTAAAGATTTACAGTCTTGGAAATCCTATGGGGCAGTTCTGTTCTGTCCTATAGGATTGCTATGAGTTGGAATTGATTCGATGGCAATGAATTTTGTTTTGGTTTGGTTAATGGGCAATTTGATTTTAAAGGCAAGTTGGAATCCGTTTGGATGGTTTTAAGAGACAGTCTTAAGAAATTGGGCATCTTTGCAATCAGGAAAATGTAACTGCAGACTTAGATCAGTGAAGATCTAGGTTTATTTTATTTAATTCTAAATTACCACTTTGAGCCTATTCTAGCAATATATACATTTGGAAAGGTATTAGAAATGCAGTTTTTGTATGTTCCTTTTGTCATCGCAGGTTCTGTCTTGCAGTATTTTCTTTCCACAAGAGTAAAAGTTACATCAAGCAAAGTAACCTTTCTGACCATTGTTATAACATAAGCTATAGCCAGTTGGAATGTATTCTGAAGCAGTGTGAGAAGTGGTAAACATTAAATGGTTTAATAAACAATGTTATGTAGCATACATACAAAATAGAAGATCGAAATGCATAAGGGATTTCTTGAAAGCAGCCATTGAAGTGCTTTCCATCTGAGGGTTAAAACTTGAATTTCTTGAGGCTAGAATATTTAGAGATTAATAAAACATTGAAAATATTGCATTTTGTATGCATTATTTTTCATACTCAATTTTCAGGAAGCATTTTTCATTTTGTGACAGTAACATGCAGTATTAAGACATTGTTTAAAAATTAAATTTTCTACGCTTGTTTTTTTAATGGCTAGCCAAAAAGGCCTCCAAATTTCGAGACTGGTTGGACTGCAGCAGTATGGAGATAAAACCCAATGTTGTTGCTATGGAGATTTTAGCATATTTAGCATATGAAACCGTGGCACAGGTAAGAATTCTAATCTGTCATATGAGGCCATACGTGGCCATTAAAAGTTTGGTTGATTTCCCTCATCCTTGTCTGTGACCAGTTCTTCCACCTGCCACTGTACCAGAAATGAGAACAGTCATGAGTTCTCTTACAACAGTCTTATTGTTTTCTGGAATTTAGTTCAATTATATTTCTTTGCATTCTCAGCTTTGATGGATGTTAGGGTAAAAGTGACTGCCTGTTGCAACTTTATCCTAACCAGAACTAGAAGTCCCCACATACTTCTCAATATTGAACTTCAGGTACACATTTGCCTTATTTAGAGATTATTTTTCAACCTCAAAAAATACTTTTCTAGGTATATGAGATCTCCTGAGTGCTTATCAAAACCTGCATCTGGAATCACTGCTCACAGACAAGATTCTGTCAAAGCATAGTCCTTAGACCATAAACTTCAGCATCTCTTTGGCTTTGGTTTAAAATACAAACTCCTAGGCTATACGCCAGAGCATAGCTACTGAATTAGAACCTCTGTGCCAGCTAAGAGCCCAGAAATCTGTATTTTAATAATGGTCCCCTAGTGATTATGAAAGTAAAGTTTGGGAACCACTCCCATAGAAAGTCAGATTATATATCATTTGTATTATATATGGAACCTAGCACAGGTCCATCCGTAATGCAGATTTTTAGGCAGGCAACATTATCAATAACATTTGGAATGTGTTCCTTTTAGTTTTGTGACTTCAGTGGCAGCCAGGATTATTTCCAGCCGTGTAACCTTACTTTCATTACTCTGATCTTCTAGTTAGTAGATCTGGCTCTTCTGGTGAGACAGGACATGGTCACCAAGGCAGGGGACCCCTTCAGCCATGCCATTTCTGCAACCTTCATTCAGTATCACAACTCTGCTGAGGTAAGTCTCAATAAAATCTCAATCTCAATAAAACATTAATTTTTTTAAATTGTGCTTTAAGTGAAAGTTTATAGTTCATGTTAGTTTCTCATATAAAAGTTTATACATGCATTGTTATGTGACCCTAGTTGCTCTCTGTATAATGTGAGAGCACAATCCTCCTTTCCACCCCAGATTTCCTGTGTTCATTCAGCCAGCTCCTGTCCCTTTTTACCTTCTCATCTTGCCTCTGGACAGGAGCTGACCATTTAGTCTCATGTATCTACTTACACTAAGAAGAACTCTCTTCATGGGTATGATTTTATGTCTTATAGTCCAGTCTATTCTTTGTCTTCCGTGTCTTTATTGAGCTTCTTTCGGGATGTTCTGTCCTTCACAGAAAGTGGTGTGTTGAAGTCTCCTAGTATTATTGTGGAGCTGTCTATCTCTCTTTTCAATGCTATTAGAGTTTGTTTTGTGTATTTTGGAGCCCTGTTGTTGTGTGTGTAAATATTTATTATGGTTATGTCCTCCTGCTGTATTGACCTTTTAATCATTATGTAGTGTCCTTCTTTATCCTTTGAGGTGGATTTTACTTTAAAGTCTGTTTTGTCAGTGATTAATATTGCCACTCCTGCTCTTTTTTAAGTGTTGTTTGCTTGATATATTTTTTTCCATTCTTTGAGTGTTAGTTTGTGTCTTTAAGGTGTGTCTCTTGTAGGCAGCATGCAGATGGATCATGTTTTTTTATCCATTCTGCCACTCTGTCTCTTTATTGGTGCATTTAGTCCATTTATATTCAGCATAACTATTGATAAGTATGCATTTGGTGCTGTCATTTTGATGTCTTTTTTGTGTATGGTTGACAGTTTCTTTGTTCCACTTAATTTTCTGTGCTAAGTTGTTTTTCTTTATGTATTGTCTTTTCATCTTTTTCATTGTTGTTGATTTTGTGTTTGCTGAGTCTATATTTTTCTTTTTATTATTTTCATGTGTAGGATTGTTAGTTTCCTTTGTGGTTACCTTTGTAGTTACTCCTATTTTTCTAAGTTTATACCAGTCTTTTATGTCTTTATATCGTCTTGACTTCCTCTCCATATGAAAAATCTACGGCTACATTGTTTAAGTCCCTCTTTTTTGATTTAATGTTGTCATCTTTTATGTACTGACATCTGTTTCCCTATTTTCAGTGTCTTAGCTTTGATTTAGTTTTGTGACTTCCCTATCTGGGTTGATATCTGGTTGCTCTGTCCTGTGGTCTAGTTTTGGGTTGTTAACTGGTATTATTGATTTTTTAACTGGAGGACTCCTTTTAGTATTTCTTGTAATTTTGGTTTGGTTTTTGCAAATTCCCTAAACTTCTGTTTATCTGGAAATGCCCTAATTTAACCATCATATTTGAGAGACAGTTTTGCTGGATGTATAATTCTTGGCTGCCAGTTTTTTTTGCTTCAAGCTTTATATATGTCATGCCATTGCCTTCTTGCCTGCATGGTTTCTGCTGAGTAGTCTGAGCTTATTCTTATTGACTCTCCTTTGTAGATGACTTTTTGTTTATCCCTAACTGCTCTTAAAATTCTCTCTTTATCTTTGGTTTTGGCAAGTTTGATTACAATATGTCTTGGTGACTTTCTTTTGGGTCTACCTTATGTGGGTTCGATGAGCATCTGGGATAGATATCATCTCATCTTTCATGATATCAGGGAAGTTTTCTGCCAACAAATCTTCAACAATTCTCTCTATATTTTCTGTATTCTCCCCACCCTTCTGTTACTCCAGTCACTCTTAGGTTATTCCTCTTAATAGAGTCCCACATAACTCTTACGGTTTCTTCATTTTTTAAAATTTTTTTGTCTTATTTTTCCTCAAATAAGTTGGTGTCAAGTGTTTTATCTTCAGTCTCACTAATTCTGATTTCCATTGCCTCAATTCTGCTCCTATGACTTTCTATTGAGTTGTCTAATTCTGAAATTTTATTGTTAATCTT